CCCCCTTTCTTACAGGAGCCAAATACCCCCACCCCCCTTTCTTACACTTTTCTTACAGGAGCCAAAGACCCCCATCCCCCTCACAGGCGTAAGATTATAAATGTATTGAAACGGCCCCTAACAGTTAGTGTCCCAAGTTGTCCACAATTGTAAGTGTTTTAGTTTTACCTGTCCCCGTGGTTTTATACACCCGCATAATTTTGCCAAATTTGATTTAGATTTTTTTTTTTGGGGGGGAGGGGCATAATTTCTGATTATTTTCCTGTATCATTCTTTGTTAAAATTAACGGAATCGCATAATTTCACATTTTTGGGCTCAGTTTGCATAATTTCAGAATTTTTTGTTGTTGAATAAAACTGCGTTTTACGGCACTTGCAGCACAATAAGGTCAGATAAGTGCCGAAGATTAGAGATGTTACAAGAGAGTAACAAACACAAAAAAGAAGGAGGGGAGATCAAGACGATATCATTGAATTTGATAGGAAAGAAAAAAGCAAACCACACCGAAGCACCTGCCAAACACCCACCATGTTAGTAGATTGTCATAATTTGTTCTCTATAAATAATAATTATATCCTGCATTATATCTGAAATAAATATACATGTCGTTAAACCTCGTAATACCACCACCCTTGGGACCAGCATGAAGTTGGCGGAACAGCAAGGCTGGCGGTTCAACGAGGTTCCTCTGTTGTAATGTATGTGATGTTCGTCCTTCGCTGGCGAAGATGACCTTGACTTCACATCACTGGAGGGGTGGGGTGTGTGCGGAGATGGCTCATCCGGCCGATCTTCGCACGGAAATGTCTGTTGCAGTGGGGGCAGGGGATGTTTGGGGCTGAATTAGGCTGGAAGGTCCAATGTATGTATAGCCATGTCGACTGCCCATCGTCAAGGAACGTGATTCTGTTGCGCGGTCTGTTTGAAAAGTGTCTTTTTGTTGGGGATACACATGATGCAGGCTACATGCACGTGCACTCAGAGTTGAGAGTCTTCTCTATACCTTATATCATATGTGAGGCGTGCTGACAAAATGAGTTACTTCTTGCAATCCACAAATGGAGATATTGACCAAAAATCAACCCTAGAGTCAGATTAATAGATTTTCTATTGATGCAATAATATTCTTTCAGTAGACTATAACATGCATTATTGCATACTTATTAAATGTAAAAGCTTAACCTATAAGCGTGATGTATCTATTTCCACAGGGCTCAAATCCGAGAAGCAACTCATTTTGTCAGCACCCTTCCCATATCTCTTCGTCTTTCTCGAGGGAGAAAGTTAATCTGACCTAGTACCTGTAGCCAACCAGAGAGTGGTGGACCTGGTGTTGTGCACGTGTTCCTCCGGCAATGGCGTCGGTGGCCTAGTGGTTAGGCTCTCGGACTCGCAACCGTAAGGTCGTGGGTTCGAATCCCGTCAGGGGCCCGACGTTGTGTCCTTGGGAAGGCACTTTACACGAATTTTCCTCACCTCACCCAGGTGGGAATGGGTACTCGGAGTGTTTGAGCGCTTAATCAGCTGCTTGCACTGTATGCTTCCCGGGAAGCTGAGAATGTTTCGGAGTGTTCTATGGTCTGCTGGGGTAATAATATAGTGTAAAGCGCATAGAGCCTGCTGTTGAGCGGGGATGTGCGCTATACAAATGCTTTTTATTATTATTATCATTATTATTATTATGGTTTGTTTTGTTTTGATTTGGAAAGTGATTTAGTTTTACGTCGCTTGTAACAGCCTAAGGTCATATGTGAGCAAGCAGGACACATTAAACATTTTCAGTTTGGTAGGATATTTGGAACTTTGTCCGGGTGGCGGCCGAAGCGTACTCTTATCGATTTTTGGACCACAAAGGTGATCTTTAACGTGCGCAACTTGCACGTGGGGCCTCCGAGATTTTTCACCCCTATCCTAGAAAACCAGGGGATAGATCCTACTTACCCTAAGATCAAGGGAGTGTCTGAGAGATAGCGGTATAAGATATTAAGAAAGAGCCAAGGAGTAGCAGTAAAAAGGCTGCAGAAAGAGCCAGGGGCCTAGAGGAGGGGGCAAAACGAAAGAGGGGGGGGGGGGAGTAGAGACGAAAGCGGGGCTGACGGTATAACAGGGGGAGGGGGGACAGACTGACAGACAGGATAAGAGAATGGTAACAACAGTCTAAATAGCAGCGTCCTCTTATGGTCAGTCAACATGATAATGAATGATAATGACTGCACTTTTAGTTTAGTTTAGTAAAGAGTTTTTCGGCACTTGCAACACAATAAGGTCATAAAAGTGCCGAAGATTAGAGGTGTTACAAGAGAGTAACAACAAATGTAAAAAAGAAGGAGGAGAGATAAGGACGATAGATGTTTAAGAGGAAAGAAGGAGCAAACCACACCAGAGTACCCGCCAACCACCCACGACTACACTTTGCCATGAACATATTAACTGAACAGCATATTTTTGTGAGAATAGAGAAGCAGACTTTGTGCTGTTGAAGCTAGAGAGGTGAGCAGAGTAAGTCTGATTCCCTGTAAGGACTTCTCTGTAGACATTCACCCCTTGGTGATCATATGACCTTATGCAGTTGCGAGCGCTGTAAAACCTCTACTAATACTAAAAACTAAAGAGAACCACATCGACACAATAAAAGTCATTTTGGGCTAGAAAAAAGTAAGACAGACAGACAGAAACAACAGAGGGAAAGAAAAGAAATAGGACCTGCCAGTGGTACCCTCCAACCACCCACACTGAACAGAAGTAGTCCAAGACTATACAAGAGTCACCATAACTATGTGAAGCTTGCTGACAAAACGAGTTACTTCTCAGATTTGAGCCCTAAGCAAATAGATAATGTCATGCTTACTACAGGTGAAGTTTTACAATGTATAAGTATTGAATAATAAAAGGCTTTTTATTCTTAAAGAATATGTGAAGTGTGCTGACAAAATGAGTTGCTTCTCGGATTTCAGCCCTGTGGAAATAGATAAGCCCGCTTATAGGTTAAGCTTTTACAATTAATAAGTATGAAATAATGCATGTTATAGTCTACTTAAAGAATATTATTGCATCAATAGAAAATCTATTAATCTGACCCTAGGGTTGATTTTTGGTCAATATCTCCATTTGTGGATTGCAAGAAGTAACTCATTTTGTCAGCAAGCCTCACATATATGGCATCAATAGAAAATCGACAAATTTGACCCTAGTGTCAAATTTTGGCCAATATCTGCATTGTAGATTGCGAGAAGAAACTCATTTTGTCCGTACACCTCACATAGAAACACAGTACTTGAACAATGGTGTTGAAATGACGAACAACATCAGAACGTATCAACCAATGACAATCAACTCACTTCAAACTGTCTCAAATATTTATTAGTGCATTTCATGTCATCATCATTTCAAAGGGTAGCCACCTCAGATTTGACAAATTAAATGAATGCACAGATTTGGCAGGGGCTCTCGTGGCCTAGAGGTTAAGGTGTTGGCCTCTCATTCAAAGGTCCCGGGTTTGAATCCGGGTAGCGACTGAAAAATTTTCTTCTCTAAAATTGTCTCCTTTCACCTCCTTTCCTGCTCTCTAGCAATGTTCTGTTGTCTGCTTTCGTCTCCTCTTTCTGCCCCCACGCCCTCACCTCCTTTGCCCCCTCCTCTGGGCTCCTGACTCTTTCTGCAGCCTTTCTACTGCTACTCCTTGGCTCCTCCTTACTGCTGTCTTTCAGCCACACCCCTGATCTTCTGGTAGGAAAGATCTACACCTAGCCTTCTCGGACAAGGGCGAAAAAATCTCGGAGGGCCCGTGTGCAAGTTGCGCACGTTAAAGATCCCTTGGTGGTCTAAAATCGATAAGAGTAGGCTTCGGCCGCCACCCGGGCAAAATTCAAAATTTCCTACCAACTGAAAATATTAGGTGTGTCCCGCGCGCTCATATGACCTTATGCAGTTGCGAGCGCCGTAAAACACTTTACAAAAAAAACAACACAAAACAGATTTGGCATTGGGCTGAAAGACAACAGCTCTGAGCTTGCTGGGTTAAAAACAATGAACACAGAACAGCAACACATGAGCAAACTGATTCATAACCTCAAGAAAGTACAACTTTTAACCCTATCTGTAGGCCGTGTTTTACTATCGTATCCATACGACGTGGGGAACCCTGTGCCACCACTTTCCAAAAAGGAAATTTACTCGTTAATCTGATCCATACACTTTGCATAGCAGTCTGTCAAAATAATTTTTTGAGAGATACTGAAAGTTTCAAAGAGATCTTCGTATCAGAAGTATTCTAAAATGTGAAGAATACACAACCCGGGGATACAAAATGACCCCAGGGCATACAGATAGGGTTTAATCACCACACATGGACAGTGTTAGACTATTTGAGTTTGTATTCCTTTTTCCTCACTCTTTTATGAGGGGTAAAAAACAACACAATATTACAAGGCCCAAATATTGGGAGACATCTAACTGATAACTCTTTGTCTCTTCGTTAGTTTACTTTTAGTAAGAGTTTTAAGGCACTCGCAACTGCATAAGGTCATATGAGCGCCAGAAGATTAGAGGTGTTACAAGAGAGTAACAAACACAAAAAAGAAGGAGGGGAGATAAGGATGATAGATGTTTGATAGAAAAGAAGGAGCAAACCAAACCAGTGTACCCGCCAACCACCCACTTTGTCTCTTCAACATGTGTGTGTTAAAACAATGAAGCAGCAGTAGAAGGAGAACTTCCACCCTTCTCATGCAGATCAGAGAGTTTGGAAAGAAAAATGTTTAAAAATAATTCCTCGAAGGAAATCAACTTGAGGAAAAAATATCATATAGATCTATCACAAGGATTTAATTCACTTTCAGTATCCAAAAAATTGATATTGAGAGGACCCATAAAATTTTCACTGATATAAATATTTTGAAAAAAAAAAAAAAAAGAATTCTTAAACTTAAACATCAAATTTTCTACAAGGTCAGCTGTCGGATTTTTTCTCCGCAAGGCTTAACAGATACTTTAGCAACTGAGGAAACTGTGAGTTCATGAAATGTCCCTTGTCACTGAACTCAAAGAGCTTCGAACTCAGGCCCTCCACAACTTGCTGCTGCTCAGACCATGGGATGAATGAATCGTCCGTGGATCCAAACTGCGCAATGACCTTGACATTGCCCTTGATGCTCTCCCAGTCCCAGGGTCGGTTGTAGTACCCGCTGGCGGCCTCGTTGGGGTCGCCGAGATCTGTCACACATGCAGAGACGAGGACGATACTGTAGACCTGGGGGCAGAAAAAGAGAAAGAGATGGGTGTGTGAGTGTGTTTATGTGTGTGTGTGTGTGTGTGTGTGTGTGTGTGTGTGTGTGTGTGTGAGTGAGGACGATACCGTAGACCTATGGAGCCACATGGCACAAAGAGAGAGTGATGGGGGTGTGAGTGTGTGTGTGTGTGTGTGTTTGTGAGCGTATGAGTGTGTGTGTGTGTGTGTGTGTGTGTGTGTGTGTGAGTATTTTTTAGAGGGGGGGGGGGGGGGGGGATTGCTATATTACTCATTACTTCAGTTTTTTTTTCAAGACTACTATTCTTAATCTGAAGAGCACTCAGGGTATTCCCTGGTTAGCTCGGATGAAGACATTCCCTCTTACTAACGTAATTTATCTAATTTTAACCCTTCCAGCCACAGCCCTTTTTGTGCACTCCCTAACCCCAGTCCCAGCCAATACAGCAGTATTTCAGAAAAAGAGGCAAGTATTCTAAAAAGTGATGTAGTATCTTTGTAATGAGGTATATTATAACAATGTTAAAAGGAAAATGAATAAATCTGAAAAATAAAGTTTAATTAGGTTCGCTAATTTTGAAAAAAGGGCAAATTCTGTACCCCTCGAAACTGAGAATATACGCTCTTGGGAAAGTGGGAGGTACAAGCGCTGTGGAAAATATACGCGCATGGGGCTGGAAGGGTTAATTAAGCTAGAGTTTCATTTTCTTCCCACTTTAATAGCTCACTTGGTAATCTACTGCTTCGAATGCTGAGTGCATTCCAAGGATAAGTTCAGTGAAAAAAATCTCTCTCATTCGAGTAATTCATCTCATTTTTGGTTTATGCCGAATAACAAACTATAGTCCGTTAAAAAATGTCCGGAGACCTCATAAAAATATCCTACACTCAAATCTTGTTCAACAGATGAAGCTTAAGCAGCTCACTCCAATCTTTTGTTCACTAAAAAGGAGAAAAGGTTAACGTTATCCGTATGTCATGTTTTACTATCGTATCCATACAACTTGGGAAACTCTGTGCACCAATTTACTCGTTAATCGGATCCGTACGCTTTGCATAGCGTTCTTTCAAAATTATTTTTTGAGAAATACTGAAAGTTTCAAAGAGATCTTCGTTCTAGAAGTATTCTTAAATGAGAAGAATACAACCCCGGGGGTACAAAATGACCCCAGGGAATACGGATAGTGTTAAAACGAGCCATGTCAAACATCCAACAATGTATCTATGTCCTTTTTTTTGTGAGTGTATGTGAGAGACCAAATGACCTTTGTAACACAACTGCCAACGTAAATGACTAAGACAAAAATCTCCCTGCCAGAAGAATAATAAAGACAGTAACCAGTGCTTGTGGTATACATTGATACAATGCATAGATCTACACAAAATAATTCATAGCTTACAACAACTTCACTGTTATACTTAAATACAATAATCAAACCAAAATAGACAATAAAATATTAGGGAGGTTCTCGTGTGTTCGCCTCCCATTCAATAGGCCCAGGGTTGAAATCCGCACAACGATGGAAAATATTCTTCTCTAAAATATTTTCTCCTTTCACCTCCTTTCCTGTTCTCTAACATGGCAATGTTCTGTCGTCTGTTTTCATCTCCACTTTCTGCACCCACCCCCTCACCTCCTTTGCCCCCTCCTCCAGGCTCCTGACTCTTTCTCCAGCCTTTCTACTGCTACTCCCTGGCTCCTTTTTACTGCTGTCTTTCAGCCACACCCCTGATCTTCTGGTAGAAAAGATCTACACCTAGCCGACACTAACCCTCTTGGATGAGGCAGAAAAATCTCGAAAGTCCCATGAGCAAGTTGCACACGTAAAAGATCCTTTGGTGGTCCACAATCGATAAGAGTACGCTTCGGCTGCCACCCGAGCAAAATTCAAAATTAATTCTCAAGTTGCACACGTAAAAGATCCTCTGGTGGTCCACAATCGATAAGAATACGCTTCGGCTGCCGCCCGAGCAAAATTCTAAATTAATTCTCGCCACAGGGGTGCAAAACGATTTTTGAAAAAAACCCTGAAAATGAGTGGAGCATCACATCTCACCTAAAACGAACCTTGTAGAGTTTTTAAATGAGCAAACAAAAACATATACAATAATATATCTCTTACCTCTCCTTTGCAAGTGTATGAACCCCCCCCCCCCGAAAATCCTGAAAAAACAAAGATTTGGCATCTCTGCCACCAAATAAAAAATCTAATATGTCCTGCGTGCTCATATGACTGTATGCAGTGGCGATCGCTGAAAGAACTTACCAAGAAAAAAAAAAGACAATATAATATAACAAAAAAGTGTGCGAGTTACCTTATGAGACTCAGCGTACCGCATGGCCGCCTCTGCTCCGGAGCTGTGACCTACTATGACCGTGTTCTCATCGCAGCGCAACTCTGGGAGGAATAGAAAAGTTCACTTGTTCTTTCAAAGCCACACATATATAGCTGCAAAACACTTTGATGAAAGCAAGAATTTTTAAGTTAAAACTAGGGCAAGAAATTATTAGAGGGGTATTTGGTAAAAGCGTCTCCCACTTCTATGATTTATAGTACAATATGAACTTATCTTCTATTGTTTATTCATGATAATGAAATCGTCACTTTCATTCACTAAGTCTTTCAAAGCCACATAGCTGCAAAATACTTTGATTAAAAGCTTTAATTATAAGTTACAACTAGGGTAACAAATTATTTGAGGGGAACTTGGTAAAATCATCTCCCACTTCTATGATTGATAGTACTTGATAAACGTATCTTCTACTGTTTCTTCATGACAATAAAATTGTCACTTCCATTCACTACTTCTTTCAAAGCCACATAGCTGCAAAATACTTTGATGTAAGCTAGGACTATGATTTATTAGTTAAAACTAGAGCGTCTTAAAAAATTTGGGGGGCAACTTAATGCTAAATATGATATATCCTCAACTATAGAACATAAACTCTCCAATTTTTGCACAGTGGCTTGTATCAATTTGTCTTAACAAGATTAATATTTTTGTAAAGACCTGTTAGCTCTATTCTCGAAAATTCTTCAATAAATACTAATAAAAAATCCTAGTGGGTGGTTTCAACTGATTTTAAAAGGTTTACAGCCGGTACGATATCCCTTTTAAAAGCAAGTCCGTCACTGTTTTTCTAATTGCAAGATTATCTTTATTGAACGCATGTTTTTAGAACTTTTAGCGCGAAAAAGTGTTCACTATAAAATCAATTTCTTGTAACTAGTTTTGCAACTAAAAAGTGTCATTGGAGAGCTGTGACGTCCGTAACCCAATATGCGTATACAAAATATGTGCGAGGAGCGGGAAGGGCTGTGAACAGCTCTATTTTAATCTAGTCTCAATTGTAGAGGAAAAATATGATTAATTTAAAACAAAATGAGACAAACTGCTGGGCCAAGCATGGGCGACATTGATTCACCTATATGCAAAGATATTTGAGGATAAGTTACGTCACAAATTTTTGACCTCGCTATAGGGCAAGAAATTATATAGAGGGGTATTTGGGAAAAGCGTCCCCCACTTCTATGAATGACATAACATTCCCAAACTGTTCATGACAAAACAATAAAGTATAAAATTTGGGGAAAGAAATGTTAATTTTTTCCTTCTGTAGCAGACTGCTCACTAAACAATTAGGAAGTGACAAATGCAGTTTCTAGGATTGGACACTTGAAGCAACATAAAAAGGCTTTGAACGTCTTGCTCAACATAAAAAGGCTTTGAACGTCTTGCTCTAACTGGAAAAAAATAGAAGACAAACCAGGCAGGGGTAGACCCACAGAAATTTAAGCAGAAAATCTGAACAGATGGGTGATGGAGAAGCACCAGGATAATAATATAGGGTTTTTTCAGAGCACCTGAGCGGAGAAATGAATGAAGAACAAAGACTGCTGATGTCTGTCTCAGGTCTAGCACTTTATGGAGACAATTGAGTATAATTTTAAAAACTGCATATTTTAGCTCTATTGATTTGAGCACATCCTGGTAGTACACTAGTGTACCGACGTGCACACCACATACACAGGCCTCAGCGTGCATTTAATTAATTGGCAAAGAATCTTGCAGTTGACCAGAGGGAATTTAGTTGCACTGGTCCACTAGACTCGGGGAATGAAGGCTAAAAAAAGTTGACCAAAGAGAGTCAGGGAGAGTAGACCATGTAAATCTGCAGGCAAATACATAACTTACGAAACTTTACTTTTCCGATCCAGCGGCCATATGGGTTCTAGCCCTTCGGCCTGTCGATATGGCAAAGAAATTACAGGTTTTAATCAGCTGTGTCTTGTCGTTGCATAAAGTATTTCTGATATCTTGGAAGGCAGATAGGTAGGTGCTACTCAGGTCGTTAAGTGCACACCGGGAATAGAGGTGATGTGATACTGTTTCATCCTGGCAGTCACACAGCGGACAGTCAGGTGGGGTATCCTTGCCGATCCTATTTAGGTGGGAATTCCATGGGATGTGTTGTGTTCGTAGGCGAAAGATAGTGACTTGTTCTCTGCTACTCAGGGAATTTAGTGCATCTTTTGAGTTGGGAGTAGTCACGTGTGACAAATACATGGCACAGAAACAAACAAAATCGTTTTGACAAACAAACCTTTTTCCATAAAAGGCAGCCAAACTGATTCTCGAGCGGTGATGGGATCAGGCATATTCTCCAAGCAACATTCCATGCCGGCATCACAAAGTTTACGGAACAACCATCCATACCAGTTGGCTCTGTGGACGTCCCCAGCACCGTTACCGGGCACGATTACAAACCTGACCTTATTACAGGACGCCATCGGAACAACCTGAAGGTGTAATATCAAGCATGTGGTTGGTCATGATTAGGTCCATTTGAATGTTATCAGAGAAATTCTTGATTTCATGCAGGCCAGTTGTCTTTACTCACAAGTGTAAACTGTGTAAAAAAAAAAAGAAGTAAATTGCTGCTTTGAAACCTGAATTTTTATGATGTATTTTTAGATACTTCAACCACTTTGACTTGCAACGTAAAACCAAGCCAGGCTATGAACAAAACTTGAAGACAACCAACTTGTGTCCCATGCGTTTATATGACCTTAGGCAGTTGCGAGTGCCATTAAGCTATAAAAAGCTTCAATCAAACTGAAACTGAAAGTGAAAGACAAAAGGTGTAGGATCTTATCCCTCTGAAGTCCAGAATTCATGCAAATATCGGGTTGGCCCTAATATGAATTTATGATCGCATAACTTATTTCAAAAAAAGGGTGAAAACATTTGTTTCAAATTACAGTAAAGCAAATATTACAGTGGAGTTTGTTTACTTTAAACTGAAATCCGCAGGACCATCAGATTTTCTTTGGTCTAGCTTTGTTTTCCTGTTTAGAGAGGTGGCTCAAATGGAAAAAAAAAAATTGGGGGATTTTATCTTCTCTCAGTTCACCGCTGTTTTTGGATTAAAAGTGTTTCGTTTAAATGGGCTACTGTTTAATATCAACATTACTTTAAAGTCACATCTTCAGCCTATTTTAAAAAATGAAAGACAATCTGCTTTGTCAAAACCGATAATACCAATAATTAAATAACAATTTTCTAGTTCAAGTCATAATAGAGGTTATCAAAACCAAATATTTCCATTTAATTGATTTTAATATCTTCAGACAAACTGATGTCTGGTGTAAAATAATCCCCCACAATGTTGGTTAATTAAAATTACCTTTCCACGTTTTAACATTACGAATGACATTATGATGTCGAAGTAGACAAAAACAATTTAACTTGGTGCCAGTGCACTTGACAGTCTATCATGATAAAACATCTGTCGTAAGTCCAGTCCAACTGATCATGGTTTACCACAGCCTAGGCAGGCTACCTTAAGTCCCATCTTTAGTTTTAGTGAGAGTTTTATGGCACTTGCAACACAATATGGTCATATAAATGTTGAAGATTAGAGCTGTTACAAGAGAGTAACAAACACAAAAAATGGGAGGAGAGATCAGGACGACAGATGCTCGATAGAAAAGAAGGAGTAAACCACACCAGAGCACCCGCCAACCACCCATCTGAAAGGCCACAGTCTTCTTAATGTACTTGTAGTAAGGACAGCAAGTGACAAGGTTCTGGGTGTATTTAGATCAAAAGCAGTGGCATTTACAAATACTATCTCTGTGTGAGTGTGTGGATTGCTTCATTTTGTGGAGGCACCACTTGTCAATAATCAGACAAGTGTAAGTCGCAACAGCAAGTGACTTAAAGGGACAATGTCGACGGCTAAACGCTGGATATATGTAGATTGAAGAATTGAACAGTGGTAAAGATTATGATTGACACATGAGTTGTGATAGCAAGTTAAGTAACCAGATGGGGGGACGTCCATGGCCAAATGCTGAATACATATTTAGATCCCAGACGGCTTGGGACGATAGATAAAAGGTGGAGGTGGTTAGGAAATAGAGAAGTGCTCCAAATGACAGGATGTGAAAGATCCATAATCAGACCATCAGAAAAACACAATTGAGATTTTTTGGGTTTGGCCACGTACATGTAGGCTATAATAGACTATAGTCAGAGGAAGGCAAAGAACTACAGACACAGACGTCCTGATCAACTCGCCGGTAAGGAATTTTTGTTTTAGTAGAGGTTTTACGGCACTTGCAACTGCATAAGGTCATAAGAGCGCCAGAAGATTAGAGGTGTTACAAGAGAGTAACAAACATAAAAAAGTGGGAGGGGAGATAAGGACGATAAACGTTTGATTGGAAAGAAGAAGCAAACCACAACAGAGCACCTGCCAACCACCCATGTTTGTAAGGAATGCAACAAAGAGAAAAACCAAACTGATCAAGAAGACAGACAAACAACAGGAAGGAATCGGAGCACCATGAGCGTCAATGTCTACTCCAGACATGACATGACACACCTGAAGAAGAAGATGGGAGATCTGCAGCCAAAAATACATCCGTTTGACCCGCCAAACGCCCTGCGTGCATTCGCAGGTGCAAAGCAGTACATCTGTGACTGTGTGAATTTGACAGTGTGTGGTGAGAGTGTGTAGTGTGGAAGTGAAAGAAGAAAATTTACCAACAAAATCAAAAACAAGTAGAATCTAGATCTAGATCTAGAGTCTAGATTCTAGTTCTAGACTAGTCTCGATCTAGCTAGATTATTCTAAGTTAAGATTTAGAGTTTAGTTAGTAAGCTTACTCACTTACTGTCAGTACTAGATCTAGATCTAGTCTAGTGAGTGTGAGGACTTCAGTACCAAAGGCTCAGTGCTTAACTGTTAACCTTGTTTTACTGGTGTGTCAAAACGGTAGTTTAAAACAAATGAATTCTCGCATGTGGTTATTTGACAATTACATGTTTAGGAGACAGCAAAACTGCCAGGAGCCACGATATTTACTTCCACTTTCGAAATCGATGATAATCGGAAATGGAAACTATTGGAAACGAAAAGGAAAGTAAAACTAGAACTAAAAAGCGGAACCGGAAAATGTAAAATTACGAATATTGACCTTGACATCTGACAAAAACGGACCATTTCAGTACAGGAAAAAGCATAGGGAAAAAGACATAATTCATTATAAAAACAAAAATCATGAAGCCACAACCTCCTGGTCACACTTGGTGTTAAGACACCTTGAAAATGCAGTGCAAACTTTTGATGAAAAAGTTTGAATTATTAAAAGAATACCAAATAAACAAAGATTAATTCGCAAAAAACATGCCGTAAGCTTATTTTTAACTCACCACGCGAGAGAGAGAGAGGGGGCGAGTGTTGTTTCTACTTCCGGACAAACCATCGCGATTCGCGAAACGGTCTGTTGGGTGGCGTAGCGACGAGTTCTGACACAAATACAACTTTGCTTGACTCCCTCATGACTCTTTTGAATAAAATTGTGATTGGTACCCACACAGAACAGCACCCACTGAAAACGTTAACCACAATTAGAAAGTAAAAACCCCATATCCCCAGAAAAACAAGAAATCTTACCTTCCCCAGAACGACCAGGGATTACGTACCCTTGTTATTGTGTTCGCAGCAAGCCTAGGCCTACGGGCACTGAGCAAGGCTAATGCGCGCGCAGAACGCCCGCGCTGCATCGTGGGATAGTCTTGATGGGTTGGCGAAGCCGCCATGATGGATCAGAAAAATTCTCGAGAGTGTGATACTTTTGAAGATGTAGGATAGCTTTAAATGGTTTGTTGATGATTCAGTTTGGTTACCAACATGCAAAGCTGATGTGTTATTAATTTGTCTTCTACTTGAAGTCCCCATTAGGGGCCCAGTGACTTGCGTTTGCGAGATATTGGAGTAACAGTCTCATTAGCATATTTGAAACAGAAAACGATGAGTAAGGTTTCGTTCAGGGCTCGGGCGCTGGACGCCACGAAGCCCATGCCGATCTACAAGGCTTGTGAGATTCCAGACATGAAGGACTTTGCACAAATAAATCGTTCTGTGCCGCAAATGCCGACTGGAATGGAGAAGGAGGAAGAAACGGTAAGCTATCGTGGTCTCTCTCTTCGCTCCCGAAAATGGCCGCCATGTTGGATTTTCTAATTCTTCTATCATTGTTGACTTATTCTACTGATATTTGCTATAATTTGCACAGTGTTTACAGCAATATCCCTTAGTGATGTATAAATGAACAATGTAAAATACTTGTAAGTTATGCAAAAGCACTATGTGTTAACATTGTATTGTCCCTTTGTTCAACGTGAAGGGGAATCCCCTTGATGACGTCACGCCATTGTTGTAGTAAGTAGTAATGTTGACCTAATTTGAATAATTTGTTTACTTTTAGAAGGAGCGCGTGTTTCATGAACCGACTTTGCTGCACTTGGGTTTCAATAAATATTTTGTGTGTCCGTACTTTGTTTGTATGCTGTGTTGTGCAACTTCACCAAGTTTTGATCATTTTGTGTCATTTTTTGTCTGGTTTTGATGTTGATGAATGGAGAATGAAATTGAAATGATGTCATTGTCATGCCAGAGCCAGAATAAATACAGGGCCTAATTAGTTAAGTAATAATAATATTGATGTCAATTGTTTTTATTTTATGTTTATTTTTAGATCTCACGTTAGATTTAGATAGCCTAGTGAACTTTAAATTTTAAAATAAAAAAGGAAACCAACTAGATCTAGATTAGATCTATGTGACTTGCTCTTATCATACTTTAATTAGGCCTACTTAGGCTTAGGAATTAAAACAATTTAATATTTATTTTTTATTATAATAATAAAGTTAAGGCCTTTGTAAAGTTAAAGTAGGCACACCTGATTCCAGTCCACTTGTCATGTATATATGACCTTACAATACAAAATACATAGAAGGATCTAACCTATTATTATTATATATATCGCTGTGGCTGTACGTGATGACTATTAAATTGTAAGGAATGCAAACACTCGCACACACTACACACACAAACACACACACTCGTGCACATGCGCCCTGGATTTTGAATTTAAAAATGGAGGAAAAAAACTCTTTCCATTCCATCATAAGTCATTTGGGTAGTTCTGAAACATTTAAGCTGAATGACTGGTGAATTTAAAAAGCTTTGACTTGGAGCCCTGGCATGGACAAGAAGACATTGAGATTTGAGAAAGAGGAGATTACAGTCTAAGAAGAAGTGCCTAAGGGCAAGACAGGAATGAACAGGTGAAGACTTCCCAGCAGTGTTGTACTCACTGGAAAATATTTTGGTAAATTTTTACTTTCACTCCCGCACACAGATGCACTGTTTCAGGGGTCAAACTGCTGTACTGTTTGCTGCAGATCACACATAAAGCCACTAAAACTGTCGCAAATCATTTATTTTCAAGACAATTTCAAATCTAACTGTAAAATATCAAATTATGGGTGTAAAACCCCCAGATTTTCTTTTACCCCAGTGGGGCAGGCCCCCCTGGAACCCCCCCGATTGGTCCAAACAAAGCATGTCTATCTCGGTTAAAAACAATCAAATATTTCAAAACTATTAATTTGCGACGGAAATGAAGTTGATATTCGTGTTCAGCGCATTAATATTTAGTAGACAATAGACAAGTGGTAGCTGAGTGTGAGACAGGAGGGAAAGTAAAAAAATACCAATATTTTTTTGGTAGTCAGGCGATCTTTAGTCTTTACTGCCACAGAGACAGAATATTCTTGGAATAGCTGTGAAATGTATTTTAATGAACTTCTGACTATTCCTTACTGTATTTAATGATCAGAAGCTGCATATGATTCTACATATATATCTCAAGCACGGGTCACATTGAAAATGTTAACTGTAGTCTTTACTTTGAATACTGACTCGCCCATTACATTCTTTAGATTTTTTGTAATGGATTTCATAATAGAAGTGTTGCCAATTCGTGTTTCTCCTTTTGTCTTTCTTGTAGTCCCTTTCCATTTGAAGTGAGATAATGCTGTGAAATAAGAATGTGAGAAAAAAAAGATTACACATTGTATAAGTTAAAGGCCACTGGCTGAGAGGAGACTGGGTTGAATTTAGAGAAAGTTGTCTATTTGGTTATAATATACAGATGCATTAAATTCTTGTGTATGATCTGTGGCTCAGGAGCACCATCTTCAGCGGGCTTTGTCGGCACAGCAAGTGTATGGCTCTTCAGAGGCTCTGGTCATTCCCATTCCAGAGGTGCAAGACATCTCTGACAGATATGACTGTCTCTATCCGGAGACGTTCAAGCCTACAAAACAGTACATTCACATACAAGGTAATCCCTTATGGCTGTCTTGGTTTTTTTGTCCTTGGAACTAATTATGGTGGTAGTAACTGTGCAGGAAGAGCCTTGTTATACTGTTCGTTGTACTTTTTGCATTATATTTTCTATGGTTTCGTAGCTGTTTGTTTCTTTTTGCGTCATGCTATGATGATATGTGTCCTCACACTTGCGTCTTTATAAACCATGTTAATTAAAACAGGAGGGTAAAAATAGTACTGTTACGTGACTAAACAGGTAAAGCAAGTTTGGCTGAGACCATGGTCCGTCATCCTGTCTTAGTGTTGATTTTGTTATGTGATTGTAAGCTGTTACGGGCATGGGTGATTGATAATTAATATACGGGCCACCTCTATTCTCACCCGGAGTGAGAATAGTGCAGGCGAGTCTTGTGGCTATTCTCACCCGGTGCGCGTTCACCAAATTTTGCATCAACCCTAAACCACAGAATTCTACACTGTGATAACAGAAAAATTGTAGAATTCTGTGCCGTGAACAAACGTTCCATTACAACTGTAGCCTACTAAAAGCGTACAATTTTGTCTGTGGGCAGTGGAGAGAGAGAGAGAAAGAGAGAGAGGAGTAGCGCGAGAATTTCCGGGCAAAACAAAATGACGACCCGCGTAGTTCGGCTCGATTCGAAAAGTTAAATAGCCGTAGCATCTTTGTAGACAACCAAATTAATTTACTTTTGTGTTTTAACATCATTTTTTAACTTTGTTTTGGTCAATTTGATCGTCCACACCGATAGACAGTATTCAGAAAGAGAGAGAGAGAAGAGGGGAGGAGTTGATCTAGCGAGAACTTCCAGGCGGGTGAGAATAGCCACTCTCTAATATAAGTGCTGTTTTGTGTCCTTTGCTGATGTTACATGTGACTTCTCTGCTGATGTTACATGTGACTTCTCTGCTGATGTTACATGTGACTTCTCTGCTGATGTTACATATCAGCATTCTTTTGTACCATCAAAGTGAGGTGGTGCTGTTATCATGATTCGTTGCCATTGTTGTTGTTAGTTGCAATATTTATTTGTAAAAATTTAACATGGGGTACTGTCGGCAGGTATTATTATGGTATTGTTTATGTTTCTGTATTTGTGTTCTGTGAACAATTACCTTTGTATAGGTATTGATGTTCCGTGTTGAATTGTCAATCAGGTCGTTTTACTGGTTGTCAAGAGGATCATTGTCAGCTGTTTCCTGTTCCTGTAAGACAAATCTGCAACCCTGATTGTAACCCTGAATGTCGCGAACTGGGTCAAGCAGTTTAAAAGTGGAGGGCTATCTGTTCCTTACAAAAGTACATTAATCATTGTTAGCAAGTCAAGTCTTGTTTGCAAAAAGAAGTGTGTTGTTTCTGGATATTTTGAAATGGTTTACTCCTTTCTCTTTTTCAACGCTACGACTGTCTTTGGTTCCAGATGCTGTGTGACCGTTTCTGGTGACCTGCCTTAAGTTTCAGGGAGTCTCTCTGAACCTTACTGAAATTTCATTTAATGAGAATCTGACAATGATATTTGAGTTTGATAATTTATGTTATTAGTTCGTAATTGGCTTATGAAAATGACATTGGGTTTTCATTTGTTTAGCATTCAGTATGGACCAAGAGATCCCGGATTATGACATGGACAGTGATGACGACTCCTGGCTGAACGAGCAGAGCAAGAAGATGGAAATCACACCCATCAAATTTGAGGAAATGATGGACCGACTGGAAAAAGGCAGTGGTCAGCAGGTGAGGTTCAGTTCATTTGTTTAAGTTGTTTTTGGTTGGAGAATACAGCAGTAAATGACTGACTTTGCTGTCATTTTTTATTCTCCCCGGTATGTTGTTAATTTGAGAGAATGAGTGCTGCTTCTGTCTGTTGAGACTGACAAGATAAAGTCTTGACCATGCTGCTTTTCTGGCCTTGTCACATTTTATTTTTTAAATTGATTTATTAAGTTTTAAAATATGTGAATTAGTTGCGCACTTCTCTTGCTGGATTTGTGGATGTTGACACTGACTTGTTTAAGTCTGTTGCACTCTTGACTCTGGTGGCTACCAGTGTTTGATGGGGAATGCTTTATGACCCCTGACCTCTTTGCTGTCCCTGTGGCTATTTCGCTTCTTCCCTCTATGCTTTATGTTGTCTAACATGCTGTAATGAAAATGTAATGAATGTCAGTATGTGATTTGAGTGACACATTTCTTCTTGTGAGAGTTAATTTCATGGTTTCGTTGAAGGTGGCTTTTTACAATATTTCATTAATATGGGAGTTGGTTTTTCATTCATGTATGAGAACTTGGTTGTAATCTTCTGCCTTTTCCTTCTGAAACAGGGTAGATTTTTAAAGTTGTGAATGTTCAGCTTCAGCTTTTCCTTTATTTGTTCTTTTTTGGGGGGTTAAATGTATTATTTAAAAAAATGTCTAATTTGTAATTGGTTTTCCTGTAAATTTTTGTCAGGTCGTAACTCTTCAGGAAGCAAAACTGCTTTTGAAAGAGGATGATGATCTGATCATAGCCGTGTATGACTACTGGCTCAACAAGAGGTTGAAAATGGTGAGTGACTCGAGTTGTCTGTATGCTCTACTACATGTAGTCTAATTACAGTTACTTTCTGGAAAGAGAACGGTGTATGTTGAAGGTCAGAGAGATTGAAATGATTCTCTCTGTCCTATCAGGGATAGAAGTTTATTTCGAAAGCCTCACCTCATAAATAACCTTACATTGTTGAAACGTGTATTACACCAGTGCAGTTTTTGCAATATTTTTGTACTTTAAATTAGATAAATAAAGTGTGTCCATGTATCTGTGGGATGTATGTCTGCTTTGGTTTTGGCATGGTCAATTTATTGTGTATCATCTGTGGATGATACCAGTAGCATCGTTTTCTTCATATTATGACTATGTTGTCACATACATGTTACCCCAGAGCACTTTTTAAAGTGATGACATGGCAGCATCAGCAGCCTGGGTCAAATGTAAAGAATAGAGCTTCATAAGCTTTAAGGGTATAGGCCAAATTCATCTCATGTGAGAACACATGTTTTTTGTTTTGTGCTAAAACACATTTGGTCATCTTGTCTGGCGACTTATTGAAACAATTTTTTTGTTTTGATTGTTTTAGTTTACCTTTAGTTTGGTATCCTATTGAATTTGCAGTCACTTTCATTATGTTTCTCTCTTCTACCTTCTCAGCAACGGCCGTTGATAGCCACTGTGAAATCAGAGAAGCGAGATGGAACAACCACAAACAACCCTTATGTTGCATTTCGCAGAAGGACTGAGAAGATGCAGACTCGAAAGGTAAAAACCTTTTTTTAAGCTTTAAGAGTTCACATTTAATGTGTATTATCGCAAAAGGACGTATGCCCATGTTTTATAGACAGGTTCACCCTTGATTATTGGAGGGGGGGGGGGGGGGATTGAATTTATCGCCGTGTGACATCCACTGTAGAAAGCAGACTGGAATAATTTAAATTTTAAGTACATAATTATTACAAATTCGACAAATAGTGTACCTTTGGTGCGGACATTTAGGCTTTCAAGTAGCACAGAACCTCCATTCATGTCTTGAATCTGAAACCGTTCTCCCTTTCAGAATCGCAAAAACGACGAGGTGTCCTATGAGAAGATGCTGAAGCTTCGCAGGGATTTACAGAAAACTCTGTAAGTATTGGTGTTATGTTACTTGGGAGGAGGCTTGTGTTGATTTTTGGTTTGTTTGTTGGTTGGGTTTTTTTTTTTGCAGAGTAATTTCGATCCAGGCACTTGCGTTTACTTGAAGCGATGAGCCTGGTTTGACAAAGTTGGTTGCTTATTGTAATGTGGGTGCTGCGAACCTGCAGTTTGGGGGTGCTGCTTGTTGTGTGTATGTCTCCCCCCAAGCTCCAGACAAGTTTCCCGGCACTGTACATATGTCGTGTTGATGTACCCATATTCAGTCCAGGGATTGGGTATCTGCATGCTATTTTAAAGGATTGAAGTTGCAGTGGAATTAAATTGTTCTAAAATCATTTGATAAAGTGACAATAGGTCTTTATACTTGTCAAGTGTAAAGCTTCCATGCATTGACTGAAATTGTCATGATTCTTTTTTGACAGGACACTGCTGGAATTATTGAAACGCAGAGAGAAGAGTAAGAAAGAATTGCTGCAGCTCACCATTGAGGTTTTGGAGAAGAGGTAAGTGGGTTTGTATATCTGCAGGCACTTGGATCATTACTTCAGCCAATCTAGTTATGAAAAGGTGGTTTGAATTTGTTAAAAATGGACATTAGTGACGATTGATGTCTCATTTCACTTTTTACCATTAATGTAATGACTCGGTAGAATAAGGCTCTTGTCAATTGTTGGGCACAAGGCATTATTGGTGTCGTCTTAAAGCTTTTTCACATGTCTTGCTGTTGATGAAAAAAAAAAAAGTACCCCTTGAATAGAAGTCGATATTTGCGATTAAAGGAGGTAGGGGTGGCCTAGTGTCAGAGGGAAATTTAGCACAGAAAGGAAAGGGCTGCCCACCACTTCAAAATTTGCTGAATCTTTATGACTTCTTTTTCTTTTTAAAAAAAAACAAATATATGGTCATAACACCCCTGATTTCGATTTATAGTCTTTTTTTTTTTTTTTTTTTTTTGGTCATTCATCTACTCATCCCACCCTTGTTGTGTACAAGGAACCATCAGGCCCTGATAGTCAAGGTCGCTGCCTCATGTGCCGCTAACTTTCAACACCCTCTGCGCACAGAGCCCTTGTGGTTGCTCAGTGCCGTGTTGTCCTTACAAGAACACTGGTTGCACCAAAGCCTTTAGTCGGGCAAACTTTAGTTTGACAAGGTGTTAAAAAATGCCTGCATTTTGCCTTATGGATGAGCGCCTAGGCCATTGGGTCATTGTTGGAAACAGTCAGTTGAGATGTGTGGCATGTGATTGTGATGCACCATCAGGATCAAAAGCTTGTGACAGGTCCTGGGGTCATGTCGGGATTGAAAAATTTTTTTCAAGAGCCAAACTGACATCCAGATTAAGAATTTTTACTCTGATGAGTACTGACGCATGCTGGTGGGTGGGCAGCCCTGAATTGATTGCTGACTTTTGAAGCTTGATTTAAGTAAACTTCACATAGAAATGTTTTTAAATGGACACAACAGATGTTGAACCCGCAAAAGAATATTCTATGAAAAATTTCTCAGTGGGCAGAAAAACGTTGGGTTTCTTTAGTTTCCTCATTTTGACATGGGTTTGATTTCACCACAGTGCCACCCGTTAAGATCTTGCCTGTTACAGATAATGCTACTTTAAGCCTTACAGTAAATTGTCTTGCTGTTTATATTTTCTCATGACTTGGTCACTTGTTTATCGTTTAAGTTTTACAAGTAACTGCTGTTTGTCAGTATTACTTAAATTTGTAAAACATTTTCATATTCTTTGTCCTTTGGTGAGAAGGGTTTCTAAAAAAAGAGAGATTAAGTTATGGTTAGGTTTCATGATGCTCCAGTGGGAGGGGGCTAGGGGGGTGTAAGATTCACTGGTGTGTGTTGTAAGGAACTTCAGGCTGCTTGGCTGTGAATAATCAGGATGTTACCTGATGACAGTTTCATGGATGATGCCTATGCGCTTGAAAGGTTCCGTTGGTTTTTCAAGTTTGTAACGTGAGAGTTGAACGTTTCTCCATTTCTCTTGTACACTTTGATGCCTGCATTGTTGATGTGGTAGAATGGATATGAAGCATGTCTTGTGCCCACGGATTATGCCATATCTACTCACTGCCCTCCCAGAAATGAAATGGAAGATTACTCGGGCGGTGCCTTGGCTGAGGCGGAGGAGGAGAGAGACAAGCATCCGACGTTTGTCGCTCCTTTTGCCCTGAACAGTCGCGGGGAGTGGGTGCAGACTTTCAAAGGGGTAAGTGGAAGGCTGCAGTGGTTATGATCATTGTAGCTTCCGGAAATGAAACTTCCCTAAATGACATTTTTCTCTCTCTCAGTTTTGGCCAGTAATATTGCAAAGATCTGGTACTCTCATTTAAGTTTTCAGCTTCCACAATGGGCAAAACCAAAGTCTGAAATTTCTTCTTAAATTAAAAAAAAAAAACAAAAACCAAAAAACATACCCTGTCTTCAATTTGTCAGGTAAGAATTTCTTCGTGGTGACCTCTTTAAGTAAACTTGCACAGATAATAATCGGTTTCAAAAGCTTTTTTTTTCACTTTTCTTAGCTAACTAACTGGGTAGTTCTACTCTACTTTGTCTGGAGAGATTTGTTATTGTGGCATAACTATTGCAGCAACTTGCTTTTGATAGCATCTAAAACTTTCTGGAAACGTTCCTGTAGCTTGAATGTCTTCATTTTTGTTCTGCTGAATCTATAATTGCTGTATTCAGTATTTCCCAGCAAGTCTTCTTAGATCCCTGTGCTTGTCTTTGTCTAAGGCTTTGCAGTATTTTGGTGGCTGAAACAAAAGTGGTGAAGTATGAATGATGGGACATGTTAAGGAATGTCGTTCAGCAAGTAATGGTTTACTACACTCCTGCATTGCCGTTTTGTTTCATTCTATTGAAACTTATCTTTTCTTTCATAAAGGAGGAAGTGGCTCCAGTCCGCAAGAAGCGCCAGTACCGCAAGAGAAAACAGTCGCAGCAACAGCAGCAGTCCAATCAACTCATACCTCACGCCGCCTCCCACCACTTCCAGCAGCAACAACATTCCAGTGGAGAAGTGGATGTCATGGATAGCTCGGATGATGACATGCTCTCGCCTGTAAGATTGTGTTCACTTTTCATTACTCGCTTTGAATGGATATGTTTGTGTTACGGAAAGGCTTGATTCCAACTAGTTTGCTTCTGATCAGTTTTACTTACTGACCTGCTAAATACTCCAATAAAATTGGAGTCTTCAGGGGTTTTTTTTGGGGGGGGGGGTGGTTTGCTTGTTGGAAAATTCCAGTCAGATTTACACAAAGTCCAATTTTTTTCTTGAATTGCGTTTCCATTAGTTGTTAATGGCTCATCGTGATGTGAAAATAAGCACGTTTGTTTGCAATATTTGCAGGACATCCCAAATTACGTGAAAATGCATATTTTTATTTGTGTATTTGTGATACCCGCGTTTATTTGCTGCGATTGGTTTGTAATGTAATCTGAATCTACTGGGGTTCTGGGGCCCTTCCTGGGGAAACAACAAAAATTTCAGCTTGATGTACCTGGAGCCATTTGGTGGATGCCGACCGCATTTAAGTAAGAGCGAATTGGTTTTTTTGTTGTTGTTTTTAAAAATTTCAAACGCCCATTGTTGTTTCTAATGAGGAATGTTTTGTGTTTCAGGCTATGTCGCAGTCAGACCATGAGGACGAGAACGACCCAGACGGCATGTTTGCCTTCAAGAGGAGGAAAAATTGTCACTACCACCAGGTATTTGCTCATGTGATTATATTGCCCAAGCCCAAATCTATTTCTGGGTGTGTCACAATACGGATAAGGATTTGGACAATAAAGATGTATCTTATCTTGTCTTATGAAGCTGTCATTTGAATTGAGACACCAAGGGCCGTCTTACCAAGTAGTCTCTTTCGGTTTTGTTATAATTTCTTTCTCAGCTTTTAGTTGAAAAAGAATGAGTGCTCGAGTCATGGTATTGATTCTTTCTTTGATTTCTAACTTAATAAATGACGTACACGCTTGTGGAATGACACCGACACTTTCTCGCTTGATGTTGGGGGCTTGATGTTGTTGATTTGTTGTTATGCGGGCTGGGGGGGGGGGCTCCGTTTTAAGAAAGAATGTTATTTTTTTGTGATCATCATGAGCTCTCTCGTAATTCTGCTTGATATTTTTTATCTTTCTTACCAATGAAAAAAAAGTTTCTAAACGTGCTATTTCATCCCATGTTTAAAACATTTCCCCACCCCCACCCCACCCCCCTTACAAACCAATTTTTTTCGCATATTGTCTGTTCCCTTTTGAATTGGATAACGATAATTTATCATGAAGTTTCTGATAGTAATTTTATCTCCTTCTTTCTTCAGGCTCTTCACTCTGGGCAGGGCAACTGGCCGTGGTGTGGTCCCGAGGAAGGGGGCCGGGGGGACAAGCGGTTCCGGTTTTCACTTACCTCATTACCCTCGGGCTGTGTGGGCTATGCGCGCCGGAGAGTAGGAAGGGGTGGACGGTAAGTGTCCCTTGTGGAATCTGGGCTTGACTTTATTGTGCTTATGTTGGGAGTTTTTTTTGGGTCTCTTTAGGGTCTTTTGATATTGTTTGGGGGCTCTCGTGGTCTGGAGGTTGCAGTGGTAGCCTCTCATTCAATGGGTCCTGTGTTCGAAGCCTGACAAGTAAGGGAAAATTTTCTTTTCATGTTCTCTTTTGTCGTCTCCTTTCCTGCTCTCTAACCATGTTCTGTCTGCTTTTGTCTCCACTTTGTGCCCCTCCTCTGGGCTCCTGACTCTCTCTGCAGCCTTTCTACTGCTACTCCTTGGCTTCTCTTTACATGCTGTAAGATTCCTGCAAACAGCAAGCTCTATGCTCCTTGCAATCTATATTATCATCCTCAGAAGAGGATACATCGGTCTTTTCAGGACAGGTATTAACCATATCAAGCTGTGTGCAAAATTGTCATTCATGTTGTTTTTTTCTGGACCCGTTTTTGGGGCTGAAAAATGTTGTTGGTGATATAGAACAGGGAGTCTCCTGTGTTCCAAGTACTGAAATGTTTTATTGGTGTAGGTTTCCACTTTTTCACGTTTATGGTCTTTTCCCCAGGATTATATTTGACAGAACAAGCACTCCTTGGGACGACACGTTGGAACGGCTTGACTTTGGTTCCTCTTACCACCACTCAAGTATTTATTCTGACTACGTCACTTACGTCCGAGAAAACAAAATGTGAGTGATGCTTGTCGTGTTTGTCTGTCTGCTGTTTACTTTGTTAGCGTACAGTGCAAGTTTTATTATCAACTTGGGGCTGCTCTTGAAAATTGTACGGTGTACACTTATTGTATCTTTTTACTTACCTCTCAGCATTTTTTATTTTAAATTGTAGTTGGAAGGCTGGGTTTTTTTTGTGTGTTTTTTTCCATTCAGGAGATATTAAATGTTTCTCTTTGTTTCATTATTTGTATTTTTGTTGTTTCAACTGAAACCTTTGCCATGTTTCAATTTCTTCCCTTTTGTAACTGCAAAGGAACAGTTGTATAGAATGGTTGTTGTGTGAAGTCTGGACAGATCTTTGACAATGCTCTATTTTGTTGCTTCCACAGTCCTCATTATAGACCCAAAACCCCTCCCCCAGAAGATGACCGCCTCTCTCCCTCTGCGGGCTCTGGAAATTTTGGCGTGGGGGGTAGCTCGGGCTTTGGCGGTGGCTCCAACTACTTTGGCCACGGCATGCCCACGGAGTTTGACGTGGAGAGCTTCCAGTGCCACCAGGAGGAGCTGCTGGAGCAGCAGCGGGAACAGCAACAGCGCCTCCTCACGGAGGACGGCCACGCAACGACACAGCAGCAACGCGGCAGCAGCACGGTCACCCTCGACCTGGATCCCGGCCACACGCCCGGACAGCTGGGCAGCCCGCTGACCTTGGACTCTGCCAGCGCGGAGTTTGCCGTCCGGGCCCTGGTGGACTCGCCTAGCAGCCTCGGCAGCTTGCCCGTCCTGGAGGGCGCCACGCCTGGCAGTCTACACACCACCACCCCCACCGCCTCCTCCCCCGTGGGCAGCAGGACCAGCCTTCAGCAGCTCGGCTTCTCGTTGGTCGGCAAAGCGGGGGACATTGGCGGTGGCGGAGGGGCTCCGGTGAGCGGCAGCAACGGAAAGACTATCTCAAACTCATCGATATCGTCAGCGTCATCCTCATCCTCATCCCGGCTGGCCCCGCCGCCAGACAGCAATGCCAAACTGCCCACCATCTCCAGCGGCACGTTAGCGGCAGCGTCGTCCGTTCCGTCGATCTCACTGCTGCATAAATCCCCCTCGGCCCCCATCCTGCCACAGTTGAATGTCTCCTCCTCCGCGTCCGTTCTCTCCTCCATGCCGTTGTCCTCCACTGCCACCATCTTGCTTTCTCACCCCGTCAAAAGCAATGGGCCTCTCTCCTCATCGACTCACGGTAAGTTGATATTGGACCTTGAACTTTTATCAAAGCTCAAATTATTTTTCTTGATGTGTTTGTGTGTGTGTTACCATTTTAATTCTGGTATTCAATCTTGGTACAGGATTGTTAGATGTATTTGTTTGTTTTTTTAACTCTTGTATAATTTGGTTCTTACCCAAATAGAATGCATAGAAATGGCATTTACCTAGTATTTTGTTACTGCATGTGGAGTTTTTGTGGATTTCAAGACGAGATTTCGAGCACTCTCTGAACGTGGTTGGTTGGCGGGTGCTCTGGTGTGGTTTGCTTCTTCTTTCCTATCAAACATCTATCGTCCTTATCTCCCCTCTCCCCTTCTTCTTTTTTATGTTTGTTACTCTCTTGTAACACCCCTAATCTTTTGGTGCTCATATGACCTTATGCAGTTGCGAGCGCCGTAAAACCTCTACTAAAACTAAACATAACTCTCTGAACTTTTGAAACGCTTTGTACTGTTGATGAAGTATTGAAATATTGTGTGTTTCCTAGTACAGACTTTCTGTGAATGTAGTCCACCCATTTCTTGTCTGTGCCGTGACTTTTTTTTTTTTGGTTTTTGTTTTGTTTGTTTCTTCTCACCTGCAACTTTTTGATGAGGATTTTGTCATTTGTGTCTTCCTCAGTCAAATCATCCAGCGGGCTTTCAACCTCACCAGCAGCCAACGTGCTCCAGCTCAACTTCCCGGCGACGTCGGCCACGTTGCTCCCCTCTCTGTCTTCGCAGTCGTCCTCGTCCTCCTCGTCTAGTCCGGCGGTGGTGGCCGTGGCCCCGCCCTCTGCCACGCCCACCACCACGCTGCAGCTACAGAGGTCCCTCAACAACAAGCTGGCGGTCAGCCCCGGGGCGGCCAACGCCCTCTACAAGATGCCCGTCACGGCCGCCTCCACCACCAACTTTGAAATGCTCAGGTAAAATTGCTGGAATTTGTGTCTTTATACCGCTTTGCTTGAGGGTACGGTGACAGGGCGGTTACTGCGCTCGTCTCCGAAGTAGAAAGTCCGGGTTTGTGCCTCTGTTCGGGGACATATTTTTTTCGCCCCGTCCTTCCCACCCAGCAGTAATGGGTACCTGACTTCGAGTTGGGGAAGTAAAGGCGGCGTGGAAAGGAACCGGCCACCCTACCACAATATGCCGAAGGCCCAGGAAGTTGTCTCACTAACAAGGCAATCCCCAATGTCCGGATTGGATGCGGGAACAACTTTGCTTTATCACTGTGCCTGAAAGCAGTGGCTTTGATGCTTCTCTTTAGTAGGAAAAGGGCAGTGCTGCTAATTTTTACCGATTTGGACCCGTCCCATTGTCACTGTCATACTGATTAAGGCAGCTAAACTTACAAAATTTATGATAGGTGCAGAGATTTTTTTTTTTTACCACATTACACCCTAAGGGTCTGGACGGGAAGTCCATTGGTAGATCCTAAGCAAGGGGAAAGAATCCACCTCCCGTGAATACAAGCATTTAAAAAACACATTTAAAAAATACTAAACAAATTCCAAAAATCCTGAAAAAATAAAAGTTAAAAAGAAAACTGAATGTAGTTTCATAAAAATATAACTTTATGTATGCGCAAACTGTTAGAAATGTTCTCACTTTAGTTCAATCGGGGTGTCCGACTCATCACTCTCACTCTCAGCCTCGTGGTCGGGCCCTAGATCTAAATTCTATAATTTCTCCGTCTGATCAATCGGAATCGCCCCAAACTCTTCCTACAACGTTTTCATCAAAATCTGAGCCATCTGATTTGTCACATGCTTGTTTTTGCTCAAATCCATCGTTATTTCCGTTTTCGAACTCAATTGTGTCGCTTTTCAACAAGTCGAG